TAGTAACCAGATGTGCTATCTGTGACTCGTATGGACAAAACACGTCACTCATATAGGACCCGGACCCGAAAAAAATATGAAGATTGGCTAAGGAAAAACTGAAGTCCGGAACCTATCGCCCCCCACTCGTCTCTTCCCGTCTTCCCCTCCACCACCCCTGCTCCGTCGTCGCCACCCCTCATCCTCAATCCTCCTCCGCGGCCACCGCCCCTTCTCTGTCGTTGCCATCTCCCCTTTTCCCCCCTCCGCCTCCATCGTCCCTTCCCCTCCCCCAACCACGATGGCTCCATGTACGAACGACGATGCAGCGCTGGGTTGGCATGGCAGACGACGAGGCTAGGGGGCGGACTCCAAGGTGAGATCTCTTCCCCCTGTATCCGCCCTACTACCTCCCTTGCGCTCCCCGCCTCACCTTGGCCTGATCCGCGCAGGGTCTTCTGCTCCCACCGGCTTCCACATGACCTAGATCTGGCGCGCCTACCCCTGCCGCCGCCCTCCGCCTCGTACCTCCTTGTGGCAACTGCCGGGCTCGGGCTCCTTGCCGGCCTCTCGCTCCACATGCTTCCTCGGAAGCGGGGGGTCGACGCCGGCGACGTCTATGACTAGCACCGCGCCGCCACCCCAACCCAGGACAAGGACAAGGAGGAGGTTGTGAAGATGGCCGGCAGGGCGCCCGAGATCGATGAGGAACTCCACAGCCGCCATATTACCATCTATGGGCGCGAGACCATGAGGCGCCTCTTCCACTCTAACTTCCTCATCTCTAGGCTTCTAGAGTAGTGCTCTGAGATCGGTATGTCTCTGCTCATCATAATATGTACATACATCAATAAATCGTGAGATAAAGGCCTACTGGTTTACCTTAATGATGCGTTTTTAATTCCTTGGCCTATCTGATCTTGCAAAATCTAATTATTGTTGTGTACCTTTTGTAAATTGATGCTTTCTCTTGTGTAAGAGTAAGATGCTGTCACCGGCTGGTGTGCTGTAGGATTTGATATGTAGTTACTAGTTACTGCCTCAATTAGTCAATTCTCACTTCCCTTAGTTCATCTCAATGGACAGGACATACTTCTCATTGATTTTTTCCATGTCTGTATAAACACTTAATAACATTTGAACTTGTACAATAGAAAACTTTTCTGAAATTCTTCAATTTTCCTACAAGTGCTCTTATGGATGTGTTAAATATTCAAACCATCAAGTTATACAAGTGCCTTCTGTGATTACTCATGAATCCTTGTTCTGAGATTAGCTGAAATTTTTATTCTTCTGACCTGAATCTGTCTCAACGCAACATTGCCCCTTTTTAGAATGTTGGTCTCTTCAAATGTTATGATTGCTTCAATCAGGATTTAAATACACCCTGGGTTGTTGCAATTGGTAGCTATATGATCCATATTTGTGCTTCATTTTTATCTTCCTGTGCATGCCATTGTTATAATATTTGTGCTGCTACATGCTAATAGGATCCCATCTAACCATGGTGATTAATTGGGCTTCCAGTTCTAATTTTCATTTTCGTCTTTTATTTTGGGAGTCATAAGTTCATTTCTCCTACATATTCCCCGTGTGTGTAGATCAGAGAGTTTATGATTAAGTGGATGGATCCTTTACGTTTCTACTGATTTCTTAACTTTGTTGATTATTTAGTCTAGCTCTTGCAAATGAGAGGTGTACAGTGGCTATTCAGAGATTATATCTCAGGCACAAGGTGTATATACAATTGGATTAGTTATAAAATGCATTTGATAAATGGTTCAGTTTTGGTCTACAATTAAGCATTTTACTTTTTAGGTAACGACACACCAAAACAAAAATATAATATAGTTGTCTACAAGTATGATCTGTCGGGAGGTCCTTTGTTTATCGATTTCCAGCAGCAGTTTCAGCTTCAGTTCTTGTGCAAAAGCAGGTGGGCAGCAGCACATAAGCAGCTTGGTTCTTATCTCATGTGAGCAGCGACAGTAGCTAAACATCAAATTTAGAGAAAAATGGCGTATCCAGTGCAGAGAGCTCCCGCTCTGTGCGGGGTCTGGGGAAGGGTGTTAGTGGCAAGACTTACCCTCACCTGTACAATGCGATGAGACCGCGACTCGAACCCAGGACCTTCCGGTCACAGGCGGTAAGACTCTACCACCAAATTTTAGTTTTATTTGGTACTTAGAGGTATTGTTTAGAGATGGCAGACGGGACTTAGATACATTTTTTAAATTACATGTCACAACAGGACGGGACTTAGATACACATAATCTATGATGGTTCCTTACTACTTTTGTTACAAATTAAATGGTCCCATGTCACAGTTAAAGCATGGAACTGTATGAGACAGGTGTAGACATAATCCGTATGATGGTTCCTTACTATTTTAGTAAATTTATTTGTAAATTCAAATTAAATTTTATTTGAATTTGAGACATATTTTCGATATCCTGTTTTTCTCAAGTGAGATAAATTTTAACGGTGAAAACATTTGTCTACAGACCATATGGATCCTTACTACTAGTCTGTGAGTATATAAGTGGTGCTTCATGTGCAGTGAGGATATGAATCAGTGCGTAGTCTGTGAGTATATAAGTAATATGAGCTAATTCTTGGTGAACTTTGTTTTATTACAGATATGCACATCGGACCATGCAGATTTGCACTGGACATACATAATTGTGTGAGCATCTCTTTTTATTTGGTATTGTACTCTAGTTAAGTCAGAGATCTGATTGTTTCTGAGAGTTTGTTACTTTAGAGAACAGATTTTAGTTTTATTTGGTACTTACAGATTTTAGTTTCACTGATAATAGCGCCTCATGCCCAGTGGTCGCTGCCGCCCTAGATCGACCATGCGTGTAGCACCACTATACCCAGAGGTACGCGCATCTGTGCCAGCTCGTGTCGGATAACTAGAGCTTCTGCTTGGCGTAGCCGGTGTGTCAGTGCATGACCCTAGCTGGGGATGCGACGCCATGCTGGCAACCCTGGAGGTAATAACGGCAAGGTTGGTGGTGGCATAATTCTAGATGAGGCCGTGAATAGAGACCTAGCGGAAGCGGTATGTCAATCTGCATTAACAGTTTTGCCTGGAGGAATCCTACCTATTTGCCATTGGAATGGAGATCGGATTCATGACTAATTTCTAAGTAAAATAATGGGAATTGGAACTACAAGATGCCGCTGCAGTAGTCTTTCTAAATTAAACTAGCAGGGCTCTTATGTCTCTAGTTTTAGTATGATGTAATGAATACATGCCATCTAGTTTTTACTCGTTTGACTTGGTTTTTCAGTAAAATTTACAATGAAAAAGGCCAGATGTGTGATTATCAGTATAGAAGCTTATAGTTTGGTAGTCCCAGGAATCAAACTTAAATAGAGAAGCTGTGATCCTTGGATCAATTTTTACTAAACCACAAACTCATAGAGTAGTTCTTTTTCAGTGGCAGTAAAGCAATAACCTTGCTTCTCTAGGTTTTCTGTGAGTAAACTCTTGCCCATTCAAGTAATTGGTGACTATTTATTTTAAATTTACTCAATGTATAACAGATGTATAATTTACTATTTCTGCTAATTTCTTTCTAGTTAATGTTTTGCTGTTTTTTTTGTCTAGATGACATCGGACGTAGTAGTGACATTGAAATTCTTATCCTGATCATACAAGAAAGAAGATCAAAATACTGATTGCCCTCTAGCACATCTATTCCAGCATTTGTTCAATGGTAAGTTGAATTTATTTGCAACTACTGCTAGCTGAATTGCTCCAAGCATACTGTACCTGTGGATATATAGTAGAACAACTTCTTTTCAATTGTACATGACAAATTGATTATCATGTAGGTATCCTATAGCCTGAACAGTATGTGTCATGTGTAGGCATCATAGGTCTTTCCCATGTGTTCTGCCCTGGTGCATCTAACTAATTAAGATATTTCTTTTGCAGATCACATGATGTCTGCAGATGCCATATGGGAGAACAAAATAATGGCAGAAGCAAAGTGGTACTTGTTGATGTTAAGCACAATTTCTTGGCATAGTATAGCTCTGAATATGTAATGGACATGGTTTTTTCATGGGTATTCAAGAGAGTATTGATGATAATCCTACCTGAAACTCAGAGATGGCTATGGTACTCAGAATGACATTTCTTACATTTGTCTTTAATTAACTATCTGTCGTTTTGTTGTAGCCTAGGAGCAGTTGGCCTACATTGAGCTGAGAGGAAAGGAAGTAGCTAGGAGGTATATGTATTGCCATTTATTCTATAAAGCAAACGTCACATTTTCATAGTTCTGGTGGATACTCTATGTAATCACTTACAGTTTAACACTAGTATGTATTGTGATCATGAGAACTTACTGTGTACTGTGAAGTGTGAACTATCTTTGTACTGGTGTGAAATGTACCATATTGTGAAACATGGGGTTCGGAAATGTACAGCGTGGATCTAGATTTTTTTCCTGTAAACTGCTATCAGAGACGTTTTTTGGCTATACGCGTCACTAATGAAAGGGTCATCTGTGACCCGTTTTCTCAATGCATGTCGCTGCTATCTTCACATCAGTGACGCGTCTTCTCAGTACGCGTCGCTTCTATCTCACATCAGTGACGTGTTTTCTGAATATGCGTCGCTTCTATCTCACATCAGTGACGCTTTTTATGAATACGTGTCGCTGCTATCTTCACATCAGTGACGCATTTTTATGCGTCACTAATATCTTCACATCACAGACGCGATGTAAGTGACGCGTTTTTTCCGCATCACTAATGACCCTCTGGACGCGTCACTAATTAGCATTTCTGGCATAGTGAGTGAAGACTAGAGAGTGCAAAAGTTATCTTTGTCCATCAAGCTTAATGACATGCAAGCTAGCTCAAATTAATGTTCTTGGTAGGATTACTACATATTTATATATGACTTGTATGTCTTGTTCTTGTATAGCACCAGCACTTGATGAGCCGAGCAGAGGTGGACAGGCCACTCAAAAGCATGCATGTTAGTTTGCTAGCTATAGCTAGAGGAGAGGACATGATGGATAGGGTTGAAGAGCAGGTCCTTGACCATTTGCTTCATGCGATGAGTCGGCGAGGTGATGCCGTCCCCGTCCTGGTAGATGCAGTGGATGATCCGGGGGAGGTTGAGGCATAGGCTGGCCATGCTCGTCATGCTTTCCGTTTCCACCGCAGATGATGAGCAGAAGGAGGGGTCGTTACCACCGGACCGGAGGCGGCGACGACGACCTCCCAGTTGAGCAGCTTCCAGGTCTCGGCGATGACGCCCTGTAGCTTGCTCCTCGCCGGCGCACCAGGGCTCCGCCATGCAGCAGGCGATGGACGACGGTGCACCAGGGCCTTGCACAGCTCGTGCCACTGTTTTCACTGCGAAAATTAAAACCAGGAACGCCTAAAGAGGATAAACAGCATAGCTCGTGCCAAATTCAAATAAAATTGCATTTGAATTTGTAAATTTAAATAAATTTAAACAAAATTTGTACGAAAAAGATGTATCAGGATATATTGGAAATATAAGGAGATTTCGGCCGATAAAGGAAACCATGCGTGCCACTGCATTGCATTGTTGCATGTGTATCAGCTCGTCAGCAAATGAACATGAGCAGTACATGAAGATGATCGATCTTAATTTACGTTCCGCCTTCTTGTAGAGTGGAAGCATGTCGTATTCATGTTTCTCGAGCACGCGATCTGCTGCAGTGGCCGAAGTTGTCCAGATGGCCGAGTACATCGCCTTCATGTACTCCGGCAGCGCCATGCCCATGACGACGGCACTGTCGTCGTCGTCGCAGTGCTCCCAGCTGGCGATGGCGTCGCCGCGTCGGTGAAGGCCTGGAGCTCGTCCATGGTGCCGTACACGTTTCGTAGATGTCGTCGAGGTGGACGATGAGGGCGCCGATCTTCGCGAGCACCTCCCTGCACTCCGCCAGGCGCGGCTCCGGCGCGCGATGCAGGAGGCGCAGAAGCAGCACTCCACGACGCGGTCCCTGGCGAAGGAGTAGTCGCCCAGGCGGCTCTCCTTCCACCACCGCATCACCTCCGCGAGCTCTCGCCGGTGGAGAGCCTGCACCAGGTTGAAGTCCAGCTGAGCCAGCTGCAGGATGGCCGGATCGACGGCGACCTGCTTGTTATGGTCGTCGTCCTTGATGAGCGACCCCATGGCCTGCAGCCTCGGAGCTCTCTCCAGTGTAACGGCAACGACGGCAGGTGGGTGCAGTCAGATTCATCGTCACGTCCTGCGGCTAGCTTGCCGACAGCGAACGCTCTTGCTTGGTCCAGCACCGTCTCTCCCGGGAAGGCAAGATATGAAGCTTGGTACACAGCGAGCAGTGCGTCTCTGTCAGTTATCTTGTCGCCTTCCTCTCTCAATGCACCCATCAGCATGTCTGTCATAGCAGTAGTAGTGAAATTCAGTATTACCAAAACGGGATGACTATACGGCCCGTTCGGCTGGCAGAAACTTGACTGAAATTGACTGGTTTTGTGAGAGAGAAATACTATAGCGGCTGGTTGATGAACAGTGGCTTGTGAGGGGGATCAGCCGGCTGGTCTGGTTTTACTAGACCAGCGAACGTGCCCTACGTGTGTTGCAAGAAACAGCGTAGGAGTAGTAAGACCGAAATTGAATGAAAGCGCGATTTATATATACATATCATTTCTCCTATTAAGTTAATTTCACACAACACTCTTATACAATCAACTAGTAATAGTAAATTATTATTTTTGTGATTCGTTATCTGTCTTTGTATTATAACATATCAAAATTTGTCCTTATCTGGCTATAGAAGCAATTGTTAATTATTAATTGTATTATAACATGTTTCAGGTTTGGATAAAGTGTATTTTTCAACCTTCAACTTACACGAGAGTTCGAGTTTAGACCCTCACCATATGAATCCGGATACTAGAAACCCTCCAACTGTCAAAACAGATAAATCTATTCCTTTAGTTTGTTTCAATTTCAAATGTGGTTTCCTATTTTCTAAACGGCAGAATAGTCGCTTTGGTTCTTGAACTATTACTCGAGGCTCAGTTTCATCCCTGAACTTTCAAAACAACGGTTTAATCCTTAAACTCTACTTTAGACTCAATTTTATTTCAGAACTACGAAGATGATCGTTTTAGTCCTCAGACTTTACATTTTGGGCTCAGTTTCATCCATAAAAACTATCAAAGTGAATTTTGGTCTTTAAACTTTTATTTTCAACTCAACTTCGTCTATCGTCCTACAAGGGGCGCTGCACTGTTGCACTTAGTTAGCTCCGACACCACCAGCGATTGGAGATAGAAAAATAATATTCATCCAAAAACTCTTTAGTAGCCATTAATAATTCTAAGCTATTATTATTAATGTTACCTTATAATGGTACCATTTATATATATCCGACTAAATGATTTTTGTGGGAACAATTACAGTTGCTCCAAACGCTATTTATTCCTTAATAATACATGGATATATTGAAACAATAGCAAACTTATAATTTTTTTCCTTAGCTACTTCAAGAGCTAGGCTCAACTAATGGCCATTTGTGTATAAAATAATTTGTTTATCCATAGTCTAAAAATAATTCATATTTAAGAATATTTAGATCTATATTTATATTCATCTTAGAATATGAATAAAAAAATGTTGAATGTGTGTTATCTAGCCATATATCTACAGTCACATGTAAAACGTGCACGCTCTTAGAAACCAAGGCTCTCCCCATCACCAATGCAGCTAGTGCCAGAGTACAGATATACAAAGCAGCAAGCTTCAGTGGATGCAGTACGCGCATCTACATGAAGCATCAGCATCTGGATCCATTGCAAACAAACGTGATAGCTTCTGCCTATCACGAATATGATGCAACTAGTGCCACTGTACTCACATGTAAGGCCTGTTGTCGCTTTTTTACCAGTATTTTTGTTATGATATACAGTACTCCCTACCACAAGAAGGAGTACGTATTTGACCATATATAGTCAATCACGTATTCACATGTGTAAAACGTGCACCTTCTTAGAAACTCGATCGTGCTCTCCCTACCACGAATGCAGGTAATTTCACAGTACATGTAAGGCCTGTTAGATTAATTGACCTTGGAAAATTTGTCTACCTTACACAGCAATTTCATATGTCCATTAATTTTTTTATGTGTGGTTAATAGTGCAAGGGCATGCATGGAATGAAATACCTTAATATTACTAAATTCTAGGTTTAGGATATATGATAACAATGTCTAGATTCACAGAAAAATATTTTAGATACAAAAGAATGATGTCCAAGGTTCATGAAAAAAATATTCTACTACTAGGGGAACAATTAATATTTTAGGTTCACTAATAAAAATATCCAGGGTTCTCTAACTTCATGAGAAATTATGCATGGTGTTACAGGTAGAAACAACAAATGGGAAAACAAAAATAAATAAAAAACAATGGTAGCTTTCAAAGAAAAGAGAAAAAGGAACAAATCTTCACAAAAATGTTTCGGGATAGAAATTTTGAAGAAATTTTCTAACTTCAAAAGAAATAAATGTTCCAGGTTATTTTCAGGAAACATAATGTTCCAACTATAACAAGAACAATGTTCTAACTTTAGAAAATGTTATAGGTTTACGAGAACAATTTTCTAGGTTTGGAAGAACAATATTCCTCAGAAGAAAAATATTTTAGCTTCACATGAAAAGCAAAAAAAAATTCAGTCATGATCGACTTCTTATACATTTAAAGTAGAACTGACGCCTAGTTTTTTTTACTATTGTTTAGGAAACATATTATTTTGTCATCATTATTTAACTATAGAAAAAATTATAAATTATCTCTCGTGAGTTGTTGTTTTATTTAGTTGTATAAGATAATTGTCTAAAAATCGAAGCACTTAAATATAGCGACTCCAAATTTTTTCTAGACATAGAATTGGAAACGTTGAAGACAACATGAACCTACTGTACTATAGACCTAGTTAATTTAGGGGGAAATGAACTAAGCTAGTGACTCAGCAAACATCATTGGCTATCACTTGCATTGCACCTGAACTTGCAGATTTGGGAAACTGAATATAAGTGTCGTGGGCCGAGTACGAGAGCCCAGCTCAATGAATTACAAGTGGGCCATCTTGTGGGCTTGTGAGGCCATCGAGACCCTCAGGTAAGGATGAAAACGGTCGGAAACGGTCGGAAAACTCATAAATTGTTTTCTACTTTTATATTTGAAATACAAAAACGAAAGCGAAAACGGTAAAATCGGACACGAAAACGAACGCGAACTTACGAAATATCGAGAATTCCGAAAACAAACCAATTCGAGCGGATTTATGTTGAACGTGGTCGATATACGAAAACTCAATACGAAATACCGATCCGTAGGACCAAGTGCATGACTAAGTACATACATGATCAAGTTCAAGTGCATATAATAATTAACAAGTGCATGATCCTTGGTCTTAGGTATTTAACACAATAGCCGACACATAAATACAAGTCTAGAACAAGCAATTAGTAGCTAGCAGGATAATAGGAATTAAAATTAGATGTAGCAACTAGCGTACCATTTTAGAATCTGAACTAAAATTAGATGTTATAGAAACATGAACTCGAACTGAGTCAGGATAATTTTATTAATTTTTTGGAATAGGTGTAGTATTTTATTTTAAAGGTTTATTCAGATTTTTGTTTTGAGTAACAAAGATTTATTCGGCTGAGGCAAAAACTATCAAATGATTGACTTCGCAGGTGGGGGTTAAACCGATGAGCTTGATGGGCTATGGCCCAGGTGGGCATTCGTATAGATGAGGCTAGGCGTCATCTATAAGAGAGGGCAGCTGGCCACCAGTAGAAAAAACGCAGCTGCGTGGTGAGCAGCCTGTAATTAGGTTGTATAACCTGTGCAGTTGGCCAAATTCGGTTTAAACCAGATTTTGAATTTGGAATATTTCAAATTAAAAGTAGAAAAGTAGAAAACGGTCGAAAATATCTAAACCGTTTTCTACTTTTACATTTGAAATACGAAACATCTGGAATGCGAAAGCGAAAACGATAAAGTCGGACAAGAAAATACGAATTTGATCGGATTAAATATAGAAAACGATACGGTTCGATTCGGGATATTTCCGTTCCGTTTTCATCCTTAGATGCAGGCAATCAAAAAAACAGAAAATAGGCAATGTTAGCCCAGAGTGAGCCAGATAGGAATTGGGATTGAATCATCCCTGCTCTCAGTTCAGCTGTACTGCTTTCTTTTTGGTAGTAGTAAATATACCTGTACGAGTAGACTGACGGTTGCTTTCTCAACATTTTATATCGTTGTAATTGCAATTGGTTTTGCACAATAATGTCCAGCAAAAACGGGTAGCATATTGATAAGGCTTTGTTTAGTTTTTTCTCCTAAAATTTACTCGTTATCACATCGGATATTCGACACATGGATGTTTGACACGTGCATAGAGTATTAAAATATAGACTAAAAAATAAATAATTGCACATATTGCGACTAATTTACGAGACGAATTTTTTAAACCTAATTTGTCTATGATTTGGCAATGTGGTGCTACAGTAACATGTGCTAATAATATATTAATTAGGCTTAATAAATTCGTCTCGCAGATTACTGAGAATTTCTATAATTTATTTTATTATTATTATCCGAACACTCTTCTGTAACACCCCGATGTCATATCCTTAAAATTACTGCCTCATTTAAACACCACCTAAGTTTCATTCATCATCTTCTGATTTCTGAGGGGGTGTTTAGTTGGTGAGGTGAAAATTTTTGGGTGTCACATCGGATGTGTCGGAAGGATGTCGGGAGGGATTTTTAGATACTAATAAAAAACAAATTATAGAACCCATCAGAAAACTGCAAAACGAATCTAATGATACTAATTAATCGGTCATTAGCATATATAAGTTACTGTAGCACTTAAGACTTTTATGGACTAATTAAGTTTAAAAGATTCGTGTCGCGATTTTTAATCAAACTGTGCAAATAATTTTTTTATTTATATTTAATGCTCCGTATATGTGCCGTAAAATTCACTAAGTAGGCCTGAATTATGAGTTCGAGTGGACATCAGATTCGAGGTTCGTCAAACGCTCCACTGGTGCACCGTATATTTTCACTGGCAATCCGTGAGTGATGATATGTACGTCAGCGTCCGTTTCCTCGAGGCTCGAGCAGTCGGAACTTCGACAAAATCAAAGCTCCCACCTACCTCGAGACCCCGGCCGCGAGGAGGAGAACGGTGCCAAACCACCATGGCGATCCCTCTCCTCTTGCTCCTCCTCGTTCTCTGCTCAGCTTCAGCGGATGAGTACGGGGACGAGCTGCTGCGCGCGCGCGTGGGGGAGCGGGAGTGGATGGTGAGCGTGCGGCGGCGCATCCACGCGCACCCGGAGCTCGCGTTCCGGGAGCACCGCACCGCAGCCCTCGTCCGCGAGGAGCTCGAGCGCCTCGGCCTCTCCACCCGTGCCGTCGCCGGAACGGGCGTCGTCGCTGATGTAGGCTCCGGGGCGGCCCCCTTCGTGGCACTCCGCGCCGACATGGACGCGCTCCCGCTCCAGGTCCCTCGCGCTGTCCCCCTTCCTGATGCTTCTCATGTTCCGCTTGGGTCAGATAGTATCTTGTGTTGTGTGTCCACTTCTATAATCGGATCCGTTCCGGGGGAAATTAGGATGGCAGCTGCTTCATTGAATTAACATCATTCTGTTGGCTCCGACTGTAGGAATTAGTGGAGTGGGAGCACAAGAGCAAGGTGGACGGAGTGATGCACGCCTGCGGGCACGATGTCCACACAGCGATGCTTCTGGGGGCAGCAAAGTTACTCAGCTCAAGGTGTGTACTTCCATACAAATCTCTTCCATGTAGGACAGAACGAGGTGTTCAAGAATTGGCGTTCTGTTTCAATTTCTGAGCTAAGGTTGTTAAGCAAAGTGCCTGACCTTTGTTTGAATCCTCATATACATCATGCCATTTTAACTAGCGTGGCAATACTGAATATGAACAACTCACAGGCAGTGAACATCCTGATTTCTTCCAAAAAAAAAACATCCTGATTTCAGTTGTGGTAATTTTGTTTAGGAGCAGCTCCAGAATCGTATGATGGTTTGTCTTGTATTCTGAACTGAGTTAGTCTAATCTAGATAATTAGTACTCGCTTCTAGAGGAGGCTACTGCTAAATGGTTTAGCCCACTTTTTACAACCTTGCTTCAGATTTTTCTCAAAAAAACACCTTGATTTTATACGGAGTAATTAATTAATTGATATTTATTACTGTGAAGGGAACAGTGAGACTCCTTTTTCAACCTGCCGAGGAAGGTGGTGCAGGTGCATCTCATATGATAACTTGATAAGTGAAGGGGTTCTGGATGGTGTTGAAGCCATATTTGCAATGCATGTTGACTATCGGATACCAACTGGTGTAATAGCAGCTCACCCAGGACCAACACAAGCAGCTGTATGTTTCTTTGACGCAAAAATAGAAGGTAAAACTGGGATGGCTGAAACCCCACACTTAAATGTGGATCCTATTGTCGCTGCATCATTGGCCATCCTGTCCCTGCAGCAGCTTATTTCCAGAGAAGATGATCCTCTTCACAGCCAAGTATGATACTGCTTTTGATAATAGTATTTTACTTTGTGGATTTCTTTAGCATGCTGTAGAAAGGCATTGCACATAAATCAAGATTAGAAACTACAGTGAAATAAATATTTTGCTTGTAGACAGTTAACTGAGGCTTGGTTTGGTAGTCCCTTTACGGTAGACTAGTAGTATACCTTGTTGATAAAGATTAAGCATCAGCCCGCACAGACTGCATAATAGTTGTAAACTTGTAATAACGTTTTGACTCAGGCAGCTGCTAGTTCATCCTTTTTCTCAGATAAAAGGATTGTTTCCAGCAGATAAAACCTTGTCTTGAGCCCTTGATTCTGCATTTGTTCCAATGTGTATTTTGGGCACCCATGGTGCACCATGTTGCTGATTTCATGAGACTAACTTAGGGGGATTTGTAATCTATTTTTATTTACTACTGAATTAGGTTAAAGAAACCTCAATTGAGGGCATAACAGTCATGTTTACACATTGTACTCATTCTAGTTTTTTTTCTTGAACATGCATGAGAGCTTCATATCATTATATTAAGAAGAACAAGGGGCAAGAACCCTTACTCACTTCTAGACTTCTAGTTGAGATGTCATCTGTTTCCTTCATTAACAGTGAACTCCATAGTCGTTCTATTCTGGAGTGACTAACCTGAAGGGAATATCGATGCTTTTTCTTATATTAATGCTATTGGTGAAAATCCTGGACATAAATTCCATAAAATCCTTTTGACGATTTATGTTTATTTCGTTCAGGTGGTCTCGGTTACCTATGTGAGCTGGAAAAGCCCTTGATGCTACCCCTGACGTCGTTGAATTTGGAGGTACTTTGAGGAGCCTCACCACTGAAGGCCTTTATCGTCTGCAGAGAAGGGTTAAAGAGGTTAGTAAAATCATGTATTATGCATGATTTTGTTTGTTGTTATTTATTTTGTTGTGATACAGGTGTCTTCTAAATGAGCTAAGCACATTCAAAGTATTGTGGCACAGATGCATTTCCTTCGCAATAGCTTTCAAACTACTTATGCAATGAACGGTATTAGTATTATAGACCAGTAACTGCCCCATAGGCCCATAGGAACACATGGTTCCAGTTCAGTGTTATTCTGGTAAGCCTGCACACAAAGTTAGCAACTCATGTTTTTCGTTATGTGAGTAGTCCATGGCAATGTTCTTAGTCTTGTCAAAGTTGAATTAGTGTTCCCCTTTCAAAAGTAAGCAACAGTATTTACCTAATTCTCAGAATAATGGATGCTTCTAATAAAATAGTAACTCACATATTCAGAAGGAAATGGGAATTCACCATTTTTCAGGTAGTAGAAGGCCAGGCTGCAGTACATAGATGCAAGGGAGCCGTTGATACGAAGGGTGAGGACTACCCAATGTACCCTGCTGTTGTGAATGATGAGAAGCTGCATCGCCATGTAGAGGATGTCAGCAGACGCTTGCTTGGCCCAGACGAGGTGGAGCCTGGAGAGAAGATCATGGCAGGCGAAGACTTTGCTTTCTACCAGCAGCTGATTCCCGGTGTTATGTTTGGCATCGGAATTAGAAACGAGAAAGTTGGCTCCGTTCACTCAGCTCACAACCCTTATTTCTTCGTTGATGAGGACGTCATTCCACTTGGTGCTGCTTTGCATAATGCAATTGCAGAACTTTTTCTCTCTGAGGCATCCGCTCTGTACGAAGGAGGGGACTTGCAGTCGAGTTTATGATCTTGAGTTTAAAGGATGGTTGATAGGTAAACCTACCCATAGCATTGACCATACCTGGTGCAGTTTCTCTGATAATTGTTTTTTCTCACGAGTAACTTGCTCTGATAATTGGTTTGGAAGCACGCATGCATTTTCTCAGTCAACCGTGATTCTGCCAAAGAATTGCGCGGCTTTGTGTTTCTTATTTCAGAATGTAATTGGCACTCCATTTTTCCAGGTAGTAGAAGGGCAGGCGGCTGTGCATAGGTGCAAGGGAGCTGTCGACATGAAGGTCGAGGACTACCCAATGTACCCTGCTGTTGTGAACGACGAGAGGTTGCATCGATACCTAGAGGATGTCGGCAGAGGCTTGCTTGGGCCGGGCAAGGTGAGACCAGGGGAAAAGATCATGGCCGGCGAAGACTTCGCTTTCTACCAGCAGCTGGTTCCCGGTATTATGTTTGGCATCGGCATTAGAAACGAGAAAGCTGGTTCTGTTTACTCAGTTCACACCCCCTATTTCTTCGTTGATGAGGACGTCATTCCAGTTGGGGCTGCTTTGCATGCTGCGATTGCAGAGCTGTACTTTATTGAGGGCTCCTCTCTCAACAAAGACTCGTAGCTTCTCGCTCGTGCGGTTGATCTTGGGTTGAATGAATATAATTGACATGTACAAATGCATTGGTTTTTTTTGGCAAAATTGTGACTCACAAAACAATGCGACGTCATTTTGAAGCAGAGCTCTACTTGACTACTCCCTCCTTCCTAAGACGGACGCTGCATTTCTAAGGCGACCATGACTTCCTGACGGACGCTGCATTTCAGGCGACCATGACCTCTGGTGTCCAATCAGATCTGAACATCTGATCCACCGTGGTGGTTAGCTCCCCGCGGCCTGCATCAACCTCCAACTATTGTTTTCCCCTCTTTAAACAGAAACGCTACAAGGTTCCCAATCCTATATTGAAGGGTTTCTGAGCAACTCTACAAGATCTCTTATGTTATATCTCCTATACCATAAGTTGTTTCATCTCCTATAAATTGTTTTAGAAGAGTACATTAAAATTAATTTAGGATATAATACAACATTTATTACCTAAAATATAAGATATACACAATATAAGAGATCTTTTCAAGGACAGGCAGATTATCCCAGTGTTAGTGTATCTTTTCAATCATCTTAGCTTGAAATAAGAGACATCATATGGAGATTATTAATTGTCCCCCGAGTCAGTGTATTTTCAAACATCCAAATATTATAGCATCCTCGATGTCCAAAATACTTTACCATTCCGCTGGCATCTATACTTAGGATTTTTGGCTTCACCTATATCTACCTCAATTTATATGTAATGGGACCGTGTTTGGGTGGACGTGTATCATCTCAGTCCATGTGTGTTTTAGTAGGGTGGAATTTACTCAATCCACCTCAATCTACTCCAACTTATATGGACGGAGGTGAATACATATACATCCAAACAAGTCCTACAGTCGATTTGGCTCCAGCATTCACCTCAATCTATATATAATAAAGTAAATTAAATAAAAATTGATTATTTTTTCTGTCTAAATCATTCTAATACATAGGGATTAAGGTGGATACAGATACAGCCAATCAACGACTCAAATCGCTGATCACGTGGACTGTCCATCCATTCCAGTACTAGCAAACAGTAGCTTTGTCAGGTCGGTGATGCTACCCCTGTATCTGTAGCCTGCCAAGCACTATCACATTCACACGCACACGCGACCCTTGGCCCCTTGCCTCAATCTAACGCACTACATTCCACAGACATCCACGCGTGCACTGATGCGCCACCTCTACATCGGCGCACAATATCATTTTTTTTTCTGCACCCGTACTCTGAGCAGTGCAATTTCACTTGTGCCGAGAGGCCCGAGACAAGATTGTCGGGACACGACGAGCAAAGCTCCAAACTTTGCACCGACCAGGTTGCAATGTTGCATTAGAAAAATGTGCTGACTCAGCTGTTCTATTCGATCCATCATAGGGAGTATTGGCGAAAATTAAACAAATACGGGACTTGGATTTCGAACAAACCCTAGCCTCTAGCTAGGCCTAAAGCCCTATATAAACCCCTACCCGACGTCGTGCCGGTCATTCCAGTAATCCAGTTGGAATTGCATCTGGAGGTGTCCAGCCAGTCTCCCGCTCTCTGTTGACAAAAGCCGCCAAAGTAGTGTAGTTCAGTCGTTCAGTGTCGAAGGATGGCGTCGACCTCCAGCCGCATGGTCGCATCCGTCGTCGTCTTCCTGCTGCTGCTCGCCGCCTCAGGTGCATGTCCTGCGTAGCACGCGCTAGCTAGCTCGTGCCGTACTGTTTGTAGTAGCATGAATCTTGTTTCGTTCTGACATGTAGCACGGCGTGCACCGCCGTTGCTTAATTTTATTCGCGCAGAGATGGGGACGACGAGGGTGGCTGAAGCGAGGCACAGGCACTGCTTCTCGCAGAGCCACAAGTTCGTCGGCGCCTGCCTGAGCGAGAGCAACTGCGAGAACGTCTGCAAGACGGAGGGCTTTCCGTCGGGCGAGTGCAAGTGGCACGGCATAGTGAGCAAGTGCCACTGCAAGCGGATCTGCTAGCCGGCAGCCCCCCGCCGGCTGGCCGGCTCCAGTCCGGTTAGCTGCACTGCATGCAGCATTGCAGCAGCATGATCGACCTGCCGGCTGCCGGCCGGTCTGTTTGCGTTTGCTGTTATTTGTTGGCGTTGCGCGTCACCGTCCCTGCTGTGGCGCGCGGTCACCGCCTTACGTGCGTGCGTGTCCGTGTGTCTTCAGTTTACTCTTAGACGTAACGTGGCTGTGAGTGTGTGTGTGTGTCTCGTGAACCGGCTTCACGTGCTGTGGTTTTTACAGTTTCTAATGTGTTTTAGTTACCTGGAATAATAAAGTTTGGTTGCTTTGCTTTTATCATGCCGCATTGTATCGTGCATAAGTAGAAGCAAGTTGAATGAATGCATCGGTCAAAAAAAGAATATTGTTTGGTTGATTGCATGAGCGGATTCAGAGGTGTTTGGTTGTAGGCCACTGTGACCCCACGCTGCATCTGCGGCAACGCCACTGTTGTGGCTCTGAAAATGGCCACCACAGTCTGTGGCGAGAATCTTGTCGTTTTAAACTACATATTCTCGTGGCCGGCTCCATTGAGTCACCAACCAAATACATACGACTTAGATTTCTGTGGCGACAGAGTTCGACAAAGCATATTGGAGCGTTCATGGTCGTTAAATAAATCTCCAAATTATAGATTTTAAGTGACCATGCAACAACCTATATGTTCCATTGCAATTCTTGAAGACATTTTGCACCAATAGAAACTGTAGAATCTATACCACCGCATGCATCGCCCCTGAAAGTCTGAACAGCGAGTCTGGATGCGCCTCCTTTCTCACAAATCTAATATAGCAGCCCTTTAGCTTCGAGTGAACCATTCCGTGGACCATGGTCATGGTCCCCGAGCGTCTATACAGTTTCTTCTTTTGTCTCTCATTTTATTTTTTTCCTTCCTTTTCTTTTCCTTTTTATCATATTAATGTAAACATTTCTCCTATATATACTAATTTTTTAGGTCAAATTTGCCGAGAACAAATTATGTTAAAAGTTGTGCTAGATAAGTTGTTATATATATATATATATATATATATATATATATATATATATATATATATATATATATATATATATATATATATATATATGGAAATTATTTCCTACTCCTAACGAGTAATTACTCCCATGTGTATATTTCTAGATTTGGGGCGTATATGGCCCGACGAAGTGTATGTAGATAGAGCATATCATCATACTAGACCATCTAGGGTACAATGTATGACAAGTATATATGTATACTTAGAGTATATGGTTATACTTATTTTAAATGCTACTATCATAGTATTATATAATACATTAAAAAATAAATGCTCTTTTGAAAAAAAATTCACATAGTAAAGATCCGGAGTATCTTAATATTAGTATGTCAACATACTTAAACAGATAAATGAGTATGTACACATACGCAACATGATTTATTGATTATAGGAGTAACTACTCCCGGGAGTAAATAAAATGCACCACATATATATATATATATATATATATATATATATATATGAAAAAGTATTAACGAAGGAACTTATGTTTCTAAGTTACCTTATTTGTAAAATTTATTATATAAAAGTTATGTTAGTAAATTGTCACATAAGTTTGTCTATCGATAATTATGAACAAAAGCTGGGTTTTAAAAATTATGTAGAAAAGTTGTCATGATAAGTTGTCTATAAAATAAAATTATATTAAAAACATGATGATTATCGGTTGTGGATTGTGGGTGATAAGTTATATGATGCAAAATATTACTCCCTCTATCCCCAAATAAATCAATTCCTAGAATCCGTGCCAGTCATTTTTTTTAAGTTTGACTAACTTTATATCAAAGAGTAACAACATGTATGACAAAAATGAACACCTTATGAAAATATATTCTATGATAAATCTAATGAAACTAATTTGATACTATAAATCTTAACATCTTTTTCTAGAAATTCGGTTAAAGTTTAAAAGTTTGACTTAAGACAACTCTAGGAATCTATTTATTTAGGGACAGAGAGGGTATGTACAAAAGTTGTGGTTATAGTTTTGTAGTAGTTTTCTAAAAGAAGAAAGTTGCCTCAGCATATAGATTACTGGGCACAAAGAGGTTCAGAGCTAATGACGTGAATGTGGCGAGTACATCTGAGAATGAAGTTTGGAAGAAAATTTGGAGATCGAAGGTCGTTAGCTAATCTACTGTCATCTTGTGTGAAACACAGCAGAGGAAGGCGGCGCCGACTTTGTCCCCTGCTGTAATATCAGAGCTGCTGCTGCAGTCAAAAGCGCCAGACGGTTCACTGCTGACCAGATTAGGCACATGCGTGTGGGCTTGCAGTAGTCAGCCCTTGTATGCTTATTATCTAGTTATTCAGCATAAAGATGTGCGGCTGTACTTTAGTTAGATAGATAAAGTTGTATAAATAGGGCACCAAGGCAACTCAGTAAAGAGAGCTTAGATTTGTCATCACACAGACAGGGCCTCGGCCAACGTTGTTGTCTTGTATTGTGCGTGCTTGCTCTGTTCTCTCTTCTTCTTCTAGCTTGATCCATAGTGTGTGGGTACGGACACAACCGGTATAGTGGTCTGGGAGACTAGTGGTCTGATCTGGGAGACTAGTGGTCTGGGAGACTAGTGGTCTGAGACTAGTGGTCTGGAGACTAGTTCACTATCGTCAGACGGTGATCCCGTGGGCCAACAAGTGGCACAGTCCGAGCACTGGGGAAGCGGGAGGCTTCACCAACACCTTCGTTGTCGAGCACTTGGTCATCCACGGCGGTGGAGACGCTGCGGAACAGGGTGCCGAGCACTCCCGTGGCGGAGCCAAGACGTCTTACTGTGGTTCCGACCACTCCAAGACTGAGGCTGGGCACTCCTACAGTGTGGCCGAACACTGCAGGAGTTATGACGAGCAGTCCAGAAGCAGTGCCGAGCACTTCGGGTGCTATGCGGGGCACTCCGGCGGAAGAAGGAACTTCATCACCCCCGATCGAGTTCGCCTCACCTCCAAGTGACATCACTGAGTTCGTGGACGCCTACCACGAAGGTGAGGAGTTGAGGTTCCGCAGGCTGGACGACATCGTCGGCGGCACAGGTCCCTCAGGTCTGGCGGGTAGGGTGCTCAACGACGCAGAGCTGCTACTCGTCAGTGCAGAGGAACCATCCACGTTTGCGCTAGCCGAGCGCGATAGAAACTGGCGACGGGCAATGCTGGAGGAGATGAAGGCGATCGAGAAAAACGAGACTTGGCAGCTCGTCGATCCACCCCTAGGATGCCGCCCGATCAGCCTGAAGTGGGTGTACAAAGTCAAAAGGGACGAGCTCGGCGCCATTGTCAAGTACAAGGCACGCCTCGTCGCCCGAGGCTTTGTCCAGCGCGAGGGCATCGACTTCGAGGAGGTCTTTGCACCAGTAGCGCGCATGGAGTCGGTTCGTTTGCTACTTGCTTTGGCGGCAGCAAAGGACTGGCGCGTCCATCACTTGGACGTTAAATCGGCCTTCCTCAATGGCGAGCTGGCGGAAACGGTCTTCGTCAGGCAACCTCCAGGGTTCGCTGTCAAGGGAGAGGAGCACAGGGTGCTCCGACTGCGCAAAGCGCTCTACGGGCTGCGGCAAGCCCCTCGAGCATGGAACGCCAAGCTTGACACCACGCTGGGCGAGCTTAGGTTTTAGAGGTGCGCAACCGAGCACGCGCTCTACACACGACGACGGGGGAAGGAAGAACTCGTGGTCGGCGTGTATGTGGATGACTTAATCGTCACCGGCGCGCGCACGGAGGATATCAACAGCTTCAAGCGAGAGATGGCAGCTCGTTTCCGAATGAGCGATCTCGGCGCTCTCTCCTACTACCTCGGCATCGAGGTGAGACAGGGGAAGGAGGAACTCACGCTCGGGCAAAGCGCGTATGCCTCCAAGCTGTTGGAGAGGAGCGGCATGGTGGAGTGCAAGCCATGCGTGACTCCGATGGAGGAGCGGCTGAAGCTGACGAAGGACAGCACCGCGGTGAAAGTAGATGCAACACTCTACCGGAGCATCGTCGGCGGTCTGCGCTACCTAGTCCACACAAGGCCGGACATTGCGTTCGCTGTGGGCTACGTCAGTCGCTTCATAGAGGATCCCAGAGAGGATCACTGGGCTACGGTGAAGCGGCTACTACGCTACGTCAAGGGGACGATGAATCATGGAATCATCTTTTCAAAGACCGGGGGAAGTAGGCTGCAGCTCACGGTGTTCAGCGATGTAGACATGGCGAGGGACATCGATGGACGACGGAGCACCTCTGGCGTACTCGTCTTCCTCGGGTCGGCCCCAATTTTATGGCTGTCGCTGAAACAGAAGGTGGTGACGCTATTTACATGTGAGGCAGAGTACGTAGCGGCGGCCACAGCGGCGTGCCAAGTTGTGTGGCTACGCCGGCTGCTGGGCGAGCTAACCGGCGTGGAAGCTCACCCACCAGTACTGATGGTGGATAACTAGCCCGCCATCGCCCTCGCGAAGAATCCGGTTCTGCACGACCGGAGTAAATACATCGACGTGAAGTTCCACTTCCTCAGGGACTATGTTGATGGAGGGCAGATCGTCATCGAATTTGTCGAAACTGGTCGGCAACTCGTGGACGTCCTCACCAAGCCGCTCGGACGACTTCAACTCACGGAACTGAAGGAGATGATCGGCATGGAGGGGGTGCAAGGGTTAGCAGTAGGATTAGGGAAAGATTGTTAGCTAATCTACTGCCACCTTGTGTGAAACACAGCAGAGGAAGGCGGCGCCGACTTTGCCCCCCTGTTGTAATCATCAGCAGCTGCAAAAGTGCGCCGCAGACGGTTCACCTGCGCGCAGATCAGAGGCACATGTAGTGGTCGGCGCAGAGTCAGCCCTTGTATGCTTATTTAGTTACTGTTATAGCATGTGCGCTGTACTTTAGTTAGATATATAGAGTTGTATAAATAGGGCACCAAGGCAACTCAGTAAAGAGAGCTCAGATTTGCCATCACACAGACAGGGCCTCGGCCAACGTTGTTGTCTTATATTGTGCGTGCTTGCTCTGTTCTCCCTTCTTCTTCTAGCTCGATCTATAGTGTGTGGGTACGGACACAACCGGTATAGTGGTCTAGGAGACTAGTGGTCTGGAGACTAGTGGTCTGAGACTAATGGTCTGAAGACTAGTTTATTATCGTCAGACAATGATCCCGTGGAGGGTTGTGCAGACCACTAGTCTCCACAACAAAGGTTCCCCCGAAAATTCGAATCTTCTGGTGGAGGGTTGTGCAGGAGTTCTTGCCGGCCCGCCAAATTCTTTACCAGAGACATGTTGAACCCATCGCGAATTGTGAAGTTTGTGGGGCTGAGGAGGAATCAATAAGACATGTTTTGTCTGAATGCACGGTGGCAAGAGCGTTTTGGAATCAAGCCAAGGACCTCACCGGTGTTAAACTCCCAACACAACATCCTGTCACCTGGGCGCGGGACCTGGTGTGTGGGAGAGCTGGCCCCGAGCGTAACCTGTCATTGATCATCATTGGTATGTATTCGTTATGGTTGCAGAGGAACAAGCGGCGACATGGGGAGCAACAGATGCCGATTAGAGCTGCTGTATAATGGGCAGCGGATACGGCGTTTGATCTTTGGCAGCTCGCGCAACCCCAGATGGTGACCACGATGAAGCCTGATCAAGGCTGGAAACGACCGCCGTCAGGATGGGTAAAATGTAATACTGATGGTGCTTTCTATGAAGTGGGCTGGAAGGGAGCAACAGGTGCTGTGCTTCGCAACGAGAATGGTGTTTTCATAAGAGGCAGCGCCAAGTGGTATGAAAACTGTTTAGATTCCCTAACCATGGAGGCTCTGGCCTGCCGAGATGGTCTGCTCCTGGCGCAGCAGGCCGGTGTTGAGCATGTATGGTTGGAATCTGACTGCCAGGAGCTCCTGAAGCTGTGGTCAGCGGGAGAGAATCAAAGGTCCAGCGTGATGACGATCACGAGGGAAATCCGGGAGCTGAGCTGTTTCAGGATTTCAAATTTTCGTTCATTAGTGGAACTTGTAACAAAGTAGCTTATGTTCTTGCTAAACAGGTCACAAGCGAAACACAGACCGGGTGGTGGCAATTTGCACCGGACTGTGTTTCAGCTTTGGTGACTGCAGACTGTAATTCCATGAATGATCAATGAATGAAGCCCCAGTCACAAAAAAAAAGAAGAAGAAGAAGAAGAAAGTTGCCAAAATATTGTTTTCAAAAAGGAAAACTCCCGGATTATCTGGTCGTTAACATTTGTGGAGCCGCTTTTTTTCTGATTCCAGTCAGGCTCTTAAATCATTGCTGTAAAAAATACAAACGGGCATCTAAGCATACCGACCAATCCTCACGAAATAGAGTTGTAGGTTCTCTGAGAGACGAGATCCTAGCTTTCCACTCATCATCTACAGTTCACTACCAGCATCCGCAGTTCCGCACCGCCCAAAATCGGCGTCGTTTCAGAGTTACCGAGACAGGGCTCGCCAACCTGCGTTTTTTCCTGTCCTCTTGGGCTGCACCTCAAACCTTGCACCTAAGGATGAAAACGGTTGAACTCGGTCGGAAAACTCCTCAACCGTTTTTTATTTTTACATTTGAAATATGAAAACGAAAGTGAAAGCGGACAAGCCGGACACGAAAACGAACACGAACTTACGGAATATCTAAAATTTCGAAAACGAACCAATTCAAGCAGAGTTATGTCGAACACGATCGATATGCGAAAATTCAATACGAAATACCGACCCACAATGCATAACATTAAACAAGTATGCAACTGGAAGCAGCAGGAGGTAGAAAAGAAGGCCGTGGCAATCGTGTGATGCTGCTTGCCGACGCCGCCGAGGTCTTGTAGTACTCCGTCTCCACGAACTCCTCTCCGTCATTGCCGCCCTCGTACACCAACCTCTGAAAGAAACACTGATCGCGTCAATTTTGAGGTGCCTGTTGCAGTTCAGACTTGGAGTTTCGGCGCGGAGGAAGAGGGAGAGAGACCTCAGTGTGGGCTTCGAGCTCCTGGAACTTGTCGAGCTCCGGATGGGTGTTGCCGCCGGCGTCCGGGACGAGCGCGTCGGCGTACACGGCGGAGTGCTCGCTGCGGGAAGGCTTGGTGTGGCGCTTGGGCGGCGCCTCGTCGTAGTACCCCCGCACCTAGACCTCCAGCGTCGCCTCGTCCTCGGCGGAGAGGTGCGCGTCGCTCCTGTTGGGCTTCGACATTGATCCCCTTCCTTTCTTCCTCTTTGCTGTCCGGTATGCGGGCCTTGGCTTGGGCCTGGGGGCCATGCGAGCGCGCGCTGGGCCAAAGGGAAGGGACAGGCCGCGAGCGGGCCTGGCGGCTTGGGCTTTGTGCGTCGGAGCGGGCCACGAGAGGAGGTGGGGTTCGGCTGGGCCGCTGGGGAGGCCAAGGCTGTCTGGGCCGAGGGCGCAGGTGGGCTGCTCGTGCGCGAGCTGGACCAAATTCGGTTCGAACCGAACTTAGAATATGGAAAGCTCCAAATAAAATATAGAAAAGTAGAAATCGATCGAACACAGCCTAAATCAAATTCGATCCGATTTCGAATTTAGTATTTCGTATTTCGAATTCGAATTTAGTATTCCATATTTTGTCCGAAAATACAAATTCGCTCGGGTCGAAAACAATACGGTTTGATTCGGGATATTTTCTTTCCGTTTTCATCCTTACCCTCAGGACCCCGGCGGCAGCTGCAGGTCCGCCGTGGTTGTCTTCTCCAGCATCTCCACGACCCTGCTCATCGTCGGCCGATCCTGCGGCGAGAGGCGGATGCACCAGAGGCCAACGATCACCAGCTTCCTCACCACCTCCTCCGTGGCCTCCGCGTCCGGTCCACAGGCTGCTTCCGCGCAGAACCGGTCCAGATCTTGGTACAGCCACTCTGGGAAGTACCTGGTGGCGGCCGTGCTCGCCGTTCCCGTTCCGGAATCATCACCAGACACGCCACCACTGCCCGTGCCTCTGGTGGCGCCGACCATCTCCAGCACCATCATGCCGTAGCTGTACACGTCGGACTTGCTGGTGACGGCGGCTCCCGCATGCCTGGAGAAGACCTCCGGCGCGATGTAGCCGGCGGTGCCCCTGGCCCCGGCGATGGACACGGCGATGGTGCTCTCCTTCTGCGGGCACAGCTTGGCCAGCCCGAAGTCGGAGATCTTGGGGCGGAGGCCGCCGTCCAGCAGGATGTTGTGGGGCTTGATGTCGAAGTGCACGATGTGGGCGTTGCAGCCGCGGTGGAGGTACTCGAGCCCCCGCGCGATGCCCACCGCCACGTCGAACAGCTGCTCCCACAGCAGACACCACCGTCCTCCGCCATCGCCGACGGTGTACCTCTCCAGCGAGCCGTTGGGCATGTACTCGTAGACGAGGCACCTCTTGGACCTGGATCCCGATCCCTCCAGGCAGAAGCCCAGCAGCGTCACCACGTTGACGTGCGACGTCCGGCTGATGCTGGCCACCTCGTTCACGAACTCCTCGCCGTCCACCTTGGCCTCCTTGAGCATCTTCACCGCCACATCGCGCCCGTCCGGCTCCGGGAGCCTGCCCTTGTACACCGTGCCGTTGCCGCCCTGGCCCAGCTTGTGGGCGAGGGACTTGGTCATCCGCTTCACCTGCGCGTAGCTGTACCGTCGTGGGTAGTGGTGCTGCAGCTGCAGCAGTGACTCCATCCTCTTCCTCCTGTCTGAGTCTGAGGATCCCCTTCTTCGCTTCTTCCATAGCCAGAAACCTCCGGCAACAAGGAAGCACAGCAGCGCCGCCGAACCCAGCGCGCCTGCTACTATGTCTGCGAGTGCGAGGCCGGAGCCGGACATCAACAAGTTACATTACAATTGAATTCGTCAATTCGATGAGCAAATAAAGCAAAGCTAGGAGCTTCATCATCAATGGATGCTCGATTGATCGATCGGTACTCACAGACTGTTGTCTTTCTCCTTGTCCTCGAGGAGCTCACCGCACCTCCTGACGGTGCCTCCGGAGGAGGCGGTTCCACCAGCGGTGCCATGGACGGCGGCGTGCCAGGCACGATGGCCATGAACTCGTAGCGCAGGTAGCAGCTGGCCGCGTTGATGCGGACGCCGTCCATGTCCGCGCAGCAGACGCCGACCCGGACCACGTTCCCCGCCAAGCAGCGCCAGCACTCCTTGGCGGTCAGGTCCTCGGTGCACTGCGCCAGCCCGTGCAGCGTCGCGTTGGCGGTGACCGGCTCGTCGTCGAACGCGAACCGGCGCGGCGACTTGGCCGCCGCCGGAAGCATCCGGCCGTTCAGCCTCTCGCGCGCCGCGGCGAGTCCGGACGGGTCGGAGAAGTTGCTGGGGTTGGGCACGTCGAACCAGCGCGCCTTCGACTTGTCCGCCACGCCGAAGAAGCTGGCGTTGTCGAAGCGCACCAGGCACTGCGGGTACCAGAGCACCATGTCCCTGCGGCTCGCGCACCGCGTCCCGGGCAGCTCGCCGGCTGCGGCGGCGAGGCAGGCGACGCAATCGGACGCCTCGGCGTCCGCGAGGCACGTGGCGAGGCCGTACACCGTGTCCTCCGGCACGTCGCCCGCGGCGGCGGCGAAGGTGGCGTTCAGGAAGCTCGCGTTGCTGGCGGGCATGTCCTTGAGGGAGTCCCGGAAACGGAGGAGATTGGCCTCGAAGGTGGGCCCGCGATTGGAGGTGACAGCAGAGGTGGAGCAGTCTGCGCAGGCGTACCTGCCATTGGCCTTGGTGCTGCAGAGGTTGGGCGCCTGAGGGTGCACGCCAGGGGCAGGGAGGAGGAAGACGAGGACGACGGAGAAGGTGAGCAGGCGGTGACGGGACGGGAACATGGGGATCGAGCTGCTACTCCTATGTCCTAGCTTGGAGGTCGCAGATGCACGTCGCTGCTTGCCAAGCAATGGATGTGGAAGAACGGCAAGTGGAAGCAGAGAGTGACAACCACGGCAGCAGGTTGACTGGAGGGGGTCAGCGTCAGCCAGGTCGCCGGTCTCCGCATTGCAGTTCAGGTCAGAGGAGCCGGCCGGCCGGTTGGCTGGCAGCTGTCTGATGCCCCCACACGGCATCAATCTGGCAGACTGAACTACAGCAAGGAGTAACAAGAACCACTAGTACAGCTGTTTAGATCAAAATTTCCCAAGATTGATTGCACACCATGGAAGCATTAAATGTAGATAAAAAGAATCTAATCACACAGTTTGCCCGGCAGACTGATCTACAGCTAAAAGTTCATAAGATCATTTTTAAAATAAAAACGAAAACCACTAGGGATCTAAACACCCCCTTACTAGTGTTCTGTTCTCATTTCTGAAGGAAGCATGCAAGATCAGTTTGCCAGGACAATCCAATTATTACCAGCACTATAATAATTATCCTACCTAAATTGCCCCTCAAATTTGCAATATGCAACAGCATTACTGCACAGTTCATTCAGTTTCAGATCCAGTCCTCAGGAATACAATTACCACACTAGTACTCCATAAACATCACTAGGACCAACAAGGCGACAAATAATTAGCCTTATCTGCGTCAATAATGCAAGATGCAATTCAAATAATGGTATGGTATGCTGGAGATGTCATGTCATGCTCCGGGTACCAGTAGCACAAATCGACCAAATAACAACTTGTTGGAGATGCAACCACAAAAGGAGTCATCAAATTCATTAGCACCACTCAGAACTCTTTCTCATTTAGAATGATGATGATGATGGTGACGACGATGCATCGCCATTCGTCGCCAACACTGATGCTTCCATAAACATAACAACACAAGCAAAAGCATTCAACTACAACCGGATGTAGGTTTTCAGCAGTTTCAGCTTATCCGGAGTTCTTAGCATGTAACATCATACAACAAAAAAAAACTCTCTAGTTAATAGGGTGGTATTGCGCCGATACCCGCTTGGGAGGAAGCTTCCGAAGGACGAAGAGAACTAGCGCAGAAGGCAGTATCTCGGCAAACTGTACATTTGAGAAATTCATAAGAAACATTAATCCTGGGGATGAAAAGACGCTATAATTGTCGAGCACAAGGCAGTGTTAGTGATTTTACCATATAATAGAAGAAATCTAGGATTGGATGATCCAAAACCTCGAGAGATACATCGGCATCAAATGCAGATAATGCAACCTACCATCAGGGCACATAAGGCGCAACTATCAGAAATAAAAAAACTGCACGATTATATACATATACATGTGGGATGTCTTTTCTTTAAAGAGAATTAGCAAACTACAAATTCATTCGTTTTGTCAGTCTTCTCAAAAACTCAGCCTATGTTGTCTCAACATAGCAGGTCCTAAGCCCTAGTAAAGGAGGAGGGTTGTGATAGGCGTGGCGAGCCAACATTAAATCTAGCTATTCTAATGGAGATGAAACCCGAAAGAAAACCGTTGAGGCGTAACCCTCTTAGCGACGCGCCATATCGGAACCCGGGTATGGTGTTAAATGGACAAGGGCTGGGTCGGCACCCCCTTGGTGACGCGCCGTGTCGCGATCTGGGTATGGTGAGCAAGGATCGGGTCGTCGCTTCCTTAGTGGCGCACTACATCGGCGTCCGGGTGTAGTGAAAAATGAGCAAGGATCTTCACATCTGAGTCGACGGATGCGAAGGGTAAGGAAGATAAGTCGAACCAACTAGGATTCGTTTAAATAGTTGGAACGTAGGGTCGCTTACAGGTAAGTTAAAAGAATTAGTTGATACCGCGACTAGGAAGCGTGTATATATATTATGCGTTCAAGAGACTAAATGGAAGGGTCAGAAGGCGAAGGACGTGGACAATACATGTTTCAAGCTTTGGTACACAGGGACAGTCGCAAATAGAAATGGAGTAGGAGTTTTGATTGATAAGAGCTCAAGAATGGTGTGGTGGGAGTGAGAAGACAAGGAGATAGGATTATCTTAATCAAGCTTGTCGTTGGTGATATGGTCTTGAACGTAATTAGTGCGTATGCCCCCCAAGTAGGCCTCGACGAGAGTGCTAAAGACAGTTCTAGGAAGACTTAGATGGCCTGATTAGAGCTGTACCTAGTAGTGAGAAGTTTTTTATAGGAGATCTTAATGAGCATGTAGGTACTACAAGCGCAGGTTTCGAGGTAGTTCATTGAGGTTTTGGGTATGGTAGTAGGAATCAGGAGGGGGAGGAAGTTCTGGACTTCGCGGTAGCTTTTGACCTGATGATAGCCAACACTTTCTTTAGAAAGAGAGAATCTCATCTAGTGACCTTCAGTAGCGGACAACACTTTAGCAAGATTGACTTTGTCCTCACAAGAAGAAAGGACAAACGAGCATGCTTGAATTGCAAGGTGATACTAGGGGAGTGTGTTGTTTCTCAACATAAGCTTTTGGTGGTAGACTTTCATTTTCAGGTGCGTGCCCCTAGGAATAAACAAGCTAAGATTGAAAGAACAAAGTGGTAGAAACTGAAATGGGAGACGTCAGAGATATTCAGGGAAAGGGTTATCAAAGAGGGCTCTTGGAAGTAAGAAGAGGACATAAACAATATGTGGGAGAAGATGGCAACCAACATTCGGAAGGTGGCCTCAGAGGTGTGTGAAGTAACCAAAGAAAGTGGGCGCGAGGCTAAAGATACTTGGTGGTGGAACGAGGAAGTCCAAAGGGCTATTAAGCAGAAGAAAGAATACTATAGACGCTTGTACCATGACAGGAGTGTGGACAACATAGAGAGGTACAAGGTGACAAAGACTGCAAAGCGAGATGTAAGTGTGGCAAAGGGCAGAGCGTACAAGGATCTTTACCAACATTTGAGTGCGAAGGAAGGAGAGAAGGATATTTATAGGATGGCTAGGGTTCGTGAGAGAAAGACAATGGACTTCAACCAAGTTAAGTGCATTAAGAATGAAAGGGGGCATCTCTTGGTGAAGGAGGATAAGATCCGACATCGATGGCAAGAGTATTTTGACAAATTGATCAATGGTGAGAATACGGACACAACCTTTCAGTTGGATGACTTTTGATGACACAAATAGGCACTTTGTGCGGAGAATCCAAGAATCTGACGTTAGAAAGGCGTTGAAAATGATAAAAATGAGGTAAGACGATGGGACCGGATGGTATCCCAACCGATGTGTGGAGATGCCTCGGAGACATAGCTATAGCATGGCTAACCAAGCTGTTCAACCATATTTTTCGATTGAACAAGATGCCTAACGAGTGGAGAAGTATATTAGTACCGATCTACAAGAATAAAGGGGATATTCAAAGTTGTACTAATTACCGAAAAATTAAGTTGATGAGCTTTACTATGAAGCTACGGGAGAGAGTTATCGAGCACCGCTTGAGAGCAATAACGCGGGTCTCTATGAACCAATTTGGTTTCATGTCCGGATGGTCAACCATGGAAGCCATTTTCTTAATAAGACAAGTTATGGAACGGTACAGGGAGAAGAAGAATGACCTACACATGGTTTTTATTGACTTGGAGAAGGCTTATGATAAAATACCAATGAATGTTATGTGGTGGGCTTTGAACAAACATAAAGTCCCAACAAAGTACGTTGAGCTCATTAAGGAGATGTACAACAATGTTGTGACTAGTGTTCGAACAAGTGATGGAGATACGGATGACTTTCCGATCAGGATAGGACTACATCAAGGGTCAGCTTTGAGCCCTTATCTGTTTGCCTTAGTGATGGATGAGGTCACAAGGGACATCCCTTGGTGTATGCTTTTCGCGGACGATATAGTGCTAGTTGATGAAAGCCGGACAGGAGTGAATCAGAAACTGAAGTTATGGCAGGGGACTTTGGAGTCCAAAGGTTTTAGACTTAGTAGAACTAAAACTGAGTATATGAGATGTGACTTCGGCACTACTACTCGGGAGGAGAAAGATATTAGTTTAGAAGGTCAAGTAGTGCCTAGGAAGGACACCTTTCGATATTTAGGATCAATGCTAGAGAGAGACGGAGATATTAATGAAGATGTTAGCTATAAAATCAAAGCAGGGTGGATGAAGTGGCGCCAAACATCTGGTGTCCTATGTGACAAAACGATGCCACAGAAGCTAAAATGCAAGTTTTATAGGACGACGATTAGACCTGCTATGTTGTATGGTGCAGAATGTTGGCCTACGAAAAGACGACATGTTCAACAGATAAGTGTCATGGAAATGCATATGTTGCGTTGGATTTGCGGTCATACAAGAAGGGATCGAGTTCGGAACGATGATATACGTGATAGATTAGAGGTAGCACCAATTGAAGAAAAGCTTGTCCAACACCGGTTGAGATGGTTTGGACATGTTCAACGGAGACCTCCAGAGGTACCGGTGCGTTATGGAATCCTAAGCAAGGATAGTAATGTGAAGAGAGACAGAGGAAAACCGAAGTTGACTTGGGTAGAGGCAATAAAAGGAGACTTGAAAGAATGGAATATATTCAAAGACTTAGCCTTAGATAGGAGTGCTTGGAAAATAGCTATTCACGTGCCTGAACCTTGATGGCTTCTGCTGGGTTTCAACTCTAGTCTACCCTAACTTGTTTGGGACTTAAAGACTTTATTGTTGTTTGTCAGTCTTCTCAAAACAGCACACAGCATCCGTGAAGTACAAACTAGTCCACCGTGCATCATGTTTGTATGAGACAGGTCACCATCATACATCTACTTTCGGCCAACCAAAGGAATAATCAACCTTCCTCGAGTACCAACCAATCAGTACGTGGGTACAAAATACTCACCACAACACATCTTATCAGGAAGCAGGTAACACAAATTGCTGTCACAGTCCCAACCTGAGACATTTTGAAAAATGCAACATCAGAATGGAAATTATGGAGACGCTACAGTTCTGAACAGTCATATTATTAGATGAAGAACCAAAAGACCTAGATTCGTTATTAAGATACCAGATTATTTTTTTAACAAAAGATACCAGATAGTAAATAAAATACTACCTTTTTCAAACAAAACAAATGGAAATTCTATGCAGAGTTTCTTGTGATAATGTATGTGGCAATGCTATCGCCACCCTTTCGAGAGAGAAAAATGTATATGTAGAGATATTATATACTATAGTTAGTTAGCTAGACAAATGACCAACTGATGCAATATTTAGCTACAGTTATGGAGCTCCAAAAAAAAAGATGTTGCAAACATGGCAAAAGAATTTCATGTTGAACACATGTCAATTTCCACTATTTAACAGTAAGTATGATATTTGTAATTCATAGTCAGTGATAGCGTCAACCAAATGCTGTGTCGTAACACCATACTACGTCAACGATTTGTTTTCTAATTTCTAAACTAGCCTTCTCATGGGCAGTTGGACAGTAAAGATAGCTGTTGCAGGGTTGCAATCACCTCATAAAGCTTCTTTTGCCGCCCCTTAGATTCAATAGGGAAACGTCTCAGCAAGACAAATAACCTGAAGTAAAACAACAGCACCTTTTTTTTTAGGCAATACATAACTAGGGCTCCAAGTCAGTACAATAGCAAAAGACACTCAACATTGGGTTACCTTCCACCATATACTGAAAAGCCAAGAAGCGCGATGAAGGAGACAGCTACAATGAATATTTTGCTGGCCAGCTCAACCACAGCATTATCATTTATTCCGAGGTATATCCATATGCAAACCTGTCCAGATGTACAACCAGAGGTACGGAGTCAAAGTTGGAAAAAGGTAATTTATAATCCTCAATTAATAGAAAAGAAATCCAATAAATTATATACACATAGAAATTTCATGGACAGGAAGAAAGCAATGTCTTTATTGAATGATGAGAAAGTAAGAGATGAAAAGACCTGAACAACATATATGATGATGTTAACGGCAATGTATGCAGGCCTTAGCTTGTCGGTCGGGAGACTCCTAGCCTGCAACTCAACCAAGATTTGTGCTCGTATCATTTGTTTGCGATTTCTGATAGTAAAATGTAACGAAACTCAAGGCACTTCCCTTTCCTGATGTAATAAAAATGGAGAAAATGGAGATGATTTACAAACGAAAGGTGAGTGTGGCACCTGATGGTATATTTCTGCCCAGAAGAGCACAAGCAAGGTGTAGGTGGAGAAAAACAACAACCCGGGGAGATCTAGCAACACCAACTTGTATACCTGTGGAGGAAGGAAAAGGGGAAGATCTTCAGAGGGAAGTGAACCTTGATGTTTATTAGGCACAAGACCGTACATGGTTAGTTCGAGAGCAGATGAAGAAGAAAATTACAATCTTACTTTTGTGCGGAGGAGGAAGACATGGACATGGAAGCCGAATACCAGAGTACGGACTGTAGCAGGAAGACCGGTTGGTTAGCAGTGTTTGGCTGGTTGGTTAGCTGGCATGATTTTTAGCAGCATATTCATGAAATAGGGTGACATTTGAGGAAGGATGAAATCGACAATGAAGAAGCAGATTGATCAGACATAGAGAAGTAAGTAAAGATGATTAATTACCCCCATTGACAAGGAAGTTCATGAGGTGGAAGACCTTCTGCGTGGTCCATCCGAACTCGGGCACCCGGCGCTGGATCCTGATGAGCTGAATCTGCAAGTGCAAGTGGGGGGCATGACGGAGGGAGCGGAGGTGAGGATCCAATCGAGTTCCCAAGTCCGAATTGGAACGCAGCCAGGTGCCTCTTGCTCCCCCTCTGGAAGCAGAAGGGCGCAGGATGGCAGGAGGGCAGAAAAGATTTGGTTTTTGCAGCAGGCGCGGCACCAATCGACGAATAGCAGCTGAGATCAAGCAGTATCTCCCCTCCCCCGCGCTGCCGTGCCCTGCCCTGTCCGCAAGGAGGCAAGGAGGGGGCGGGTAGTGCAGGAGGGGAAGGAGGGAGGGCGTACCAGTGCGACGGCGGAGACGAGGGCGTAGGCGGCGGCGAGGGAGAAGAAGGCCGCGTCCTGCCACTGGGGCGACTCGTTGACGTCGTCCCACCAGCCCCGGAGCGCGTCGGCAGCCGAGGAGGAAGCACCCGCCGTGGCGGCGGCAGTAGCGAAGGAGGAAGCCAGCTCCCTCCTCATCTCTCCCTCCCTCAGTCCCTCTGGCTCGCTCTCTCTCCCCTTGGTCCTCTCTCCCTCTCCCTCTCCCTCTCTGCTTTGGCTTTCTACTTTCTGTGTGCCTGCGCCGCGACCCACGAGGGAGGAGAGGAGGAACAAGACACGCAGAAGAAAGGAGGGAGGCAACAAGGGAAAAGGCGGTGGGCCTACGCGTCAGTGTGTGTTTTGGTCGTGCGCGGCGGCTGGGGCCCGGCAACAGTGAGGGCCAGGGCGGTGGGATTCTTTTTTCAGCGCTGCGTCAGCGGATTGCGCTTGGCGCCGGCACACGTCGGCTCCACGTGGTCACACGCCCACACGTACTGACTACTAGCAACTTTTCCTTCCGTTTTGCTTGCCTGACTCTCACCGGGTAGGGTAGGTGGGGTCCACCTGGCAGGCTGACATGGTGCTTTGCCTTTCCTTTTCTCTCGCCCTCTAATAATCCTAGCTACCCCTAGAACTCCCTGGTCCCTAATCCCTAACCCTGATCTGGATCCAGGGAGAAGGAATTGTATTAAGATGAAGATAGAAGTTTTTACATGTGACCGGCCTGAGGCCGGGTTCACTAGGGACTACATCTTGCTATTACAATGTTGAGTACTCGGTGAGTAGTGGGCTACCCCCGATGCTAAACCTCCTAGATCCTTGTCCCTTGCCTGAACCCATTGATCACCCTGTGCCTTGATGATCAGCAGGAGATCGCTTATCGTGGCCGTGGCTTCCATGAAACGTCGAGCATTCCGCTCCTTCCAAATTTTCCAGGAGACGAGCGCAAATAGTGAGTCAAAACCCTTCCTTTGCTTGTGATGCCAATTCGCTCTTAGTCGTCTCCACCATGCAATGACAGTTTGCTCCAGGGGCGGTAATGGGCGACCTAGGGCTCGGCAAATATGGAACCAAACCTCTCGTGAGTAGGGGCAGCAGCACAGTATGTGGTCGATCATCTCCGGCGCCTGATCATAGAGGTAACATTCTTCCCTTGCTTTGAGCCCATGTCTTGCTCGACGATCATTCGTCCATTGGCACTTCCGAAACATGAGCCACAGGAAGATTTTAACTCTCAACGGCGCCCACGTCTTCCAAATTAGAGAGTGACCATGGAAGGGGACAGAACCAGTGTGCAACATTTTGTAGGCGAATTTGGCGCTGTAGTTCTAGTCCGGCGTCTAGCGCCACATGGTCCGGTTGTAACACCTCTGGTGTTATGAGCTTGCTTAGCACCTAGGTTAAGGCCTAAGAAAAATTAGCAAAATAAGTTCTCGAGTTAAAAAAATTAAAACACACATGAAATGATAAACAAACTGAAAGGGGATCATGATGCCTAAGAGGGGGTGAATTAGGCAACTTAAAAGTCTAACTCTAAACTATGGCCTCTTTTTCTAACCATAGCAAAACCTATGCAAAAGATAAACTATCTAAATGTGCAACTATGATTTTGCTAGTGTGTTGTTATCTCTACCGCAAAAGAAGTTATGCAAACAATGTAAATACAGAAGCTAAAGAGTAAGGTAGAGATAGCAAACTCCCGTCGATGACTCCGGTATTTTTACCGAGGTATCGAGAAGCGTGCAAGCTTCTCCCTAGTCCTTGTTGGAGCACCTCGCAAGGAATCCATTGCAAGGGCCAAGCTCTCGGTCGGGTAAATCCGTGGATAGCCCCGGGCCTTCCCACGCGCAAGTGGGTCTCCGGTGTGCCTTCCGGCAAGCCTCTCCTAGACCTCTCCCCGCCGTCTTCACCTTCAAGCTTCCGGCCGAACCACCGCGGGCCTTGTTCCCTTTGGTACACGGTGGCGACCACACCACAAATACGGTTGGTGTGATCTCACAAGACTATAAGCCCCTCCGATGTACAACAATGGTGCGCGCAAGCACCGAGTGGTAAAAGGTATGCAAACCTCACTAAACACTAGGCCTAAACCTAGAGCAAGCGTATAAGCGGTGGTCTAATCAACCTAAGAACTTCGCAAAGCACCTACGCTAATCACCTAATGAATCACTAAGCACTATGCAAGTGGAGATCACTAAAATGGTGTATCAACACCCTTGGTATGTTTCCTTAGCTCGACTCACTTCAAATGACCAGTTGGGGGTCTATTTATAAACCACACTGAGAAAGTAACCATTGGGGACGAAACCCAGCTTTTTGCTACTGACCGGACGCTGCTATCGTCCTGATTGAACACGTCCGGTCGTCCCGATCGTTGGAGCGCGCGCATTGATCGAACACTCTGCCAAGTCTGGTCACTGTTGATCGGACGCGTCCGGTCGCGCTGTCGCCGCTCTGGAACCTCTCTGGACTCGATCGGACGCTGAAGTTCCTACGTCCGATCGATTAGCTGCCAGTGTCCGGTCAGTGCTGACTGTGTTGTCGGGATGATGAACAGTGCCATCGTCGTGTCCGGTCACTTTTAGTCCTTAGCGTCCGATCGCTACTGCTGACGCCTGCTGTTGCCGAGCTTCTTGATCGGACGCGTCCGGTCGCTATAAGGGCCACGTCCGGTCACCTCTGTGAAGCTCGTTTCTTTGTGGTCTTGCATCCGGCTTGGTTTCTATCTTCATGCTTAGATTTTGCTTGATATCTTGGGTCTTCTTTTGTTCTTCTAGGATCTTGCTTATGGTGTTGATCGTGAGATCATCATGTCGCTTTCATCCAAGTCACGTCTTGCACCCTATTGAACTATAAAACAATTACTTGCAAATTCATTAGTCCAATTTGGTTGTGTTGGTCATCAAACACCAAAATCCAAAGTAAATGGGCCTAGGGCCCATTTTCCTTACAATCTCCCCATTTTTGGTGATTGATGACAACACGACCAAAACAAGCAAATAATAAAAAAATTTGGAATTTAAAAACTATTTACTTGCTAGGATGCAATGCAAAGGGCAAGATTATATGATGCTAAAAGATACCAATTGTAAAGCTAAAAGGTACCACATGTAAACATCTTTAGAAACTTATCTTGCCCTTGCAAATGTCCCCATGTAGCATTATGGATTTAAGCCTCTCCCTAACTCCATAATCCACTATGCTCCTTTTTCGGACCATTACCACTTGTAAATTATTATGATCGGGCTTGCTTTTGGTCCTACAAATTCTCCCCCTTTGGAATCAAACACCGAAAAGGAAGACATTAGTAGCACAAGAGACGGTCAAACTTTGTGATCCTTTATATGTGGAGTAGAATAGGTCATAAAATTTGACTCTCACATTATATAGACTAAGCTCTCCCTAAATATATACATACATATGATGGAGAATGTAGTTTATGCATAATTAGCAAATTAATGCTCAAGAGAGTTTAATCTATATAATACATAGAGAAAGCATATAAATACCAAAGTGAAATCAACATGACGATATCGGTTTAGAAATACCACATGTGAAAACTAATTTGATTTATACCACTTGCAATAGGTGGTGGATATTTAAAGTATGATACTTAACTCTGGGGACTCCATTTTCCTTGCAATGAGACTACTACATACATGATAAGCTTGAAAAGGTGTTAGTCTCAAAACATCCAACTTGTAGAGTAACCTCTCCCTAAATTTGTGCACACAAGTATGGAATACTTGTAGGAGACATGCACATTGATTTTAGAATAAAAAATACCACTTGAAAGATGACATCACATAAATGTGAGAATCATTTTCGAAGGTGATATTCGGGAGAAATTATCTACAATTTGGACTTTGGCATATATTGGATGAACAATTGTAAAACAAGCTATGTGCCATGCTCCTAAACAATTTAAACCATGTAGGTTTGCTCCAAGGGTTAAGAGTGAAACCGAGCAAGCCTACCATAAGATATACCTAGTGTATGCAAGACAAAATATTTAAGCATGCAAATGCAAACCTAGGCATGAAAAGGAACGAGATGCTAATTGAGATTGCAAGAAATTAAATCTAGTTACCTAACATGGGATGGGGAATTTGGGTCCATAGTATTCACTAACCCACTTGGCAATTGACATGATCCAACGTGATGCATCCCATGAAATGCACCCATACTTTGCCAAGTCTCCAAATTCTCCGAAGTCCAGCGAACTTCTCCTTCCCTTTCGAGATCCAAACCTTCTTGATGCTCTTCATATTTGAAATGATCTCTTTTGGCACACAAAAGCATTTGACCCCATTGTTGGCCTGCTTATTCACCTTGATGGCCACCACCTTGTTATTTTTCTTCTTCTTTAACAAGTATGGTGTGGAGGTCTTCTTGTCTACCTTGTTGGTGTAGGTGTTGGAGAGCTTGCTTGTTTGCCTTTTGTTTTTCTCTTTCTTCTTAGTTCCTCCCTCATTCTTCACCTTGCACTCATAGGACTTGTGACCTTCCTTATGGCACACGTAGCAAACCACGGTTTGTCCTTCATCAAGCTTCTTCACTCTCTTGATGGTGTTATCTTGATGAAGTTAGGTTTGCTCCGTTTTGTCTCTTACTTGAGTCAAGTCCTTGGTAAGGCGAGCCACTTCTTACTTGAGTTGCTTATTCTCCTTTGCAACCTTTTGTGTGCATGTATCTACAACAACTTTCTCAACACAAACTTGGTTGCACAAGGGTGAGTCTAAACATGAATCATTACAAGAAGTAGAAGCATCCTTTTTAGGCTTGTCAAAGATAGAACTTTTCTTTTTAGGTGCCTTGGTGAGGGTTGTACCGGCGACTTTAAGATTAGCAACTTTATTAGTTAGCTCATCATAATGTTTGCACATGGTTTCCATTTTACCAAGTAAACTTTTATAAGCATCTTATGAGCTAGCTAGCCATGGCAATGGCTTTGTTAGGTCGCTGGTAATGTTGACTATAGGATAGGGGAATTAGTTGGGCCTCAATTATGATCATTAGTAGCTTTCGCTTCGCTTTAAAATGCGTGCACATCACCAATAGCAGTCGCTCGGTCTGGGTTCACGGTCACCGCGGTCACAACGATGTTGGTGTCCAGGCTCACATCATGACCGAGTTGCGGTCGCTGACTAGCTCATGCG